AGCAATATTGCTACTGCTAACTGACCATCATCCAGTGTGTAGAGTTGGCTCATGGACTAGGAAAGTGCCACTAGAAGATATAGAAGCAAATATATTACTTTCTGCCACTCTACTCTTAGTAAAGAAGACTCCAAAATGGCGGCAGAAAAATTTTACTTTATTTACGGTATCACAATGAATATACTCAAAATTCTATGAATATACTTAGCACCAACTGGACTATACTTAGCGCCAACTGGTCTATACGGTATCTTACGAGCTTGTCCCATTACATCCTTCTTGTCATAAATAGGATCAAAAGTCTTGTATTGTATAGGGAAGAGGTGAGTTATACCACGTGACTTAAGGGTCTTCCTGGATACTTTACTGATACGATACTTCTTAAAGTCACTCTCTGGAGGAGGTCCTTCATCTTCTTCTTCTCCTTTACTCTTTACAGACTCACCATTAGCATCTTTGAGGTGTTTCACCTCATGGACATCTTCAGACTAAAAGGAACCACAATCAGTTTAAACTAAGAAAGTACTCTAGGATTACTTACCTTTCTCTTTCTCTTCATTTTTGACCACGTGGTGAAGAGGTGTTGGCATGTGGGTGTAAGCATAGGCGTGGCATCTTGATCATTTTTGTCCTCTACTATACTCGAGATTATACTTGAAGACATCAATCGAAACCGAAGAACTTTTATCAATGGCAGAGAGAAAGAGGTCCAAAGAGTCAAAAGGGATAGATGGAGAGGAAGGGACTGGACCCACTGATGGTTCTAAACAAAAAGGTGGGGGCGGGGAAAAGGATAATCAGATGCAGAAGAGAGTAAGCCGATTAGGTGGAGCTGCTCATTATGTTCACAAACGAGTAAAAGGACAACCAAAATCGACACTTAAAAAGAAAGAAGGAAAGAGCTCATTTCCACCTTCTCTCGCACAAGAAACATGGAGTCCGACTCCATGGCAGAATACAACGCAACCATTAGCAGTTATATCCTCAGTAGAGACACTATCATCAACTGAAGGAGCAACTCCTCCTACTGCATTAAAATATGATGATCATGATGTAAGTGTATTTTGCTGTGACTGATTGTATTGTAGCTAACTAGGCTTGCATAGCCATATTCCTCCCCTTTTTGATATATGACTAATTGGATTGTGTCCAAATGTCAAAAAGGGGAGTCTGGCTATGTGTGCATGACTAATACAATGCTATAGCTTACCATTTGAGCATTGAATTTAGTGATCTTTTTTAAAATTATTAAAAGGCACAGGTTACTAATATTTACTTAAAGGGCAACTAAATTGAATTTTTTGGATTTTTCAATAATCAAGTCACAGTATCTATATAACATTTGAACAACAGTTATGCACTTATTTTGATCAAAAAGTCTTTCACTTGCAAGAAAGTGCTCTTTACATTTCATCCTTTTTGTTGGCAGCCATCTTCTTCCTGTTTCAGCAACAATGCGGGGGCGTGCAATTTGTGATGTCATCAGATGCATTGATGGCTGTTCCTTGTATCTCTTTCATGCAGAAAGAACTTGTTGCTACTGGCCGTCGTAATAAAAAATAAAAGCAAATTTAGTATAATTTATTTCCAAATGATTTAGTCAAGTGAATGCTGC